ACTGTCGAAATATTAACTTCTTCAAAATGAGGTTTAAAAAAAGTGTACCATTTATGTGCCGAATAAATTATACGCTGTTTTATAGCCGAAGATAAAAGTTATATAATTTTGATTAGCTGAATTATATACTTTTTTGACGAATGATTGACGAGTGACATAATGCCGAATAAATCCATTTCGACTAGTGTACATATCTGATGTTTTTTAATTTTGAGTTTGTATCTTGAACAAATGTGATTTGAGTACTACTTTGAATAAAATTGATTAAGAAAAGATTGTGTTGGAAGTGTTTTTGAAAAAAGTTTGATTCTAAAAGATATTAGATTATTATAAAAGTTATTTTGTAAACTTTTGATTTATTTAATTAATTTGATAAGGATTTTTAATTAATATGGATTTAGAGTTTTTTGAAAAGTTTTAACTATAGAAAAGCTTTTATAGATTATATAGGTCTTGATGATTCTTAAGATTTTTTTGAATCATATGGTACTGCTATTCAGATTAATATTGTTTATTTTAGAATTTTTAATAAAGTAAGGTGAAAGAGTATTCCAATATATAGTTTTGCTTATTATTGGTCTGAACTTGAACTTGGCAAGTTGAAGGTGAATTGATTTGTGAATACTCAAACTGATAATTCTTAAAAGTAATATTTATTATTTTTTAAATAGCAAATGAAATTTTTTTTACAAAAACAAAAAAACCAGAACTTTTTTGCTTAAAAAATTTTTTTGATGTACTGTATTTAATAATATATAAAATAAAATTTTCAAACATGTTAAAATGTTTTTTTTTGAATATTTTTACTAAAACATGTACAGTATCTCAAATACACTAATCATGAATTGCATTTTTAATTTTTATCAATAAAAATATAATAGTTATAACCAAAAGAGCTTTTATCAATACTAATGTTCAGATATTGATTTTTCAAATAAAAGTCCATTATATTTGTTTTAATAATAGTAGATAAAGATATTTTTATATTTTTCAATAATATCTTGATAAAAAAAATTATTTATTTATTTATTTATTTGTTGTGATAAAATTATCATGTAACAAACGTATATCAAAAATTTAAAAATAAACAATAGAAGTATTTATTGATAAGGTAATATATAATTTCAAGAAAAAAACGAACGATTTATATCGGAATAGAATAGTAAAAAATTTATTAGATAGTGTAAAATAATGTAATTTTTTTAAAAAAATGTTTTTCATACGACTGATAAACAGTTAATAAATAAACATCTTTCAATTTTATGGAAACGCTTACGATCACCTTGCCCAGTGCCCAATTAAATTATTTTTCGTGGTAACGTTACGTATCTAATGTTGACACAATGAAAGTTCAAGCCAAAGGAATGAGAAATCATTAGTCGAATAACAGGCATAAAAAATTGGAGAAATAGTAAAGTTTCCATCTATACTTTATGATTCGGATACTTCGCGATCTTTTAAGTTTTTGCGAATGTCCGAAAAGTCATCAGTCGTTTCGTATTTTGCCTCTTCGTATATATGTTTCTAAAAAAAACACAAGTATCTATTTAGTGAGCGAAATCTCGATGCATATGATGCGTGAAAAAGTAATAAATACCTGTGGTAGTAAATTCAACATAAGCAATTCAACTATGGTAGTTGCAACTTTCTGTTGGTCAAGTTTCATGTATCGAATGTAGTAAATTGTATGAATTCATGTGATAACCCTCATTTGACAACAAATTATCATCAAATAACAAACGAATTCTTTTTTTTTTACTTACGAAGAGAGCTAAACTGGCAACAATGTTCGTGAGAAAGGCAATGAAGTCGAATTGACCAATTACTCCGTGTTGCTGAAAAACAAATCGAATCCTGAAACAAAAAAAAAAAAAAAATATGAATCCCTGGAATAATTTGCCAAAAACCTCAAGTCCCGCATTTTCCTAAGCGAAAACATACCCATGCCTTTCAATTAAGGTGTACGATCCATTTGAGTTATAAATGCTTTCTACAGTCTTATACTCGTTTCCTTCAATCACCTGAGGCAAATATTTATACGAAATAACGCCTGACTAATAATTTTAGGGAGATAAATTGTTTGTTGGATTATTTTGCACTACAAGTTTCGGGGGTTATATTAGAAATTGAAGTTTTAATAACCTTTGTAACAACATTGGTGTACTCGATCAAAATGACAATAACTATTCCGGAAGATCTATACTTTTCCCCTGGGTCAGCACCGGGTGCCGAGGATATAGCTAGCGTCAAGTGAAAAAGATATAAAAAAGATATGAAAAAGGTAAAGTTAAATCCAAGATGTTTAAATGTTTTCTGAAACGTGCCTTACCATCTAGATCTGCACCGGCTGCTGAAAGAAAATCAGAAACTAGAATAGAAGAAAGAAATCAGCGTTCGATTTCAAAAAAAAAAAAATCCGCACACCAATTTCACTGATTTTCGTAAACAATTACTTTTGAAGATATCACCATCAGCTTTAGGATTGGATTGCACCTGTACATCGTGAAAATTAATATCAACGTTAATTAATTATTTATTTGGAGAAGATTTATGAGGAGGATGATAATTAATGTTAAGTCTACCCTTGTGGCATTAGTCATTTTCTTGATCTCCGTCTTTCCATCTGCAGACATCAACGTTCCATCCATCAATCCATTACGCAATGCAATCGATGTCTGATCTCCTCTGATCGAGTGTTCAATCATCATCTTTTAAACATTAAAAGTCGTTAATTGAACATTAACTAACTGAAATCATGGCGAGATGATAATTACCGTGTAATTTTCAATATCACCTATGTAGGATTTATTTAAAACGGTTGTAGTGTTGACGGAGGAACTACTTGAATTGAAAAAGCAAGGATCATTCGGATTTCTAACGACCAAGAAATCGCATCCCGTCGGAGGTTGGTATGTTCTCACTGTGGCCCTTGTGGTGAAGAATGCGACACCTGCTCCGTCTTCTGGATATTGAACTGGAAAAAAAAAAAAGTTTATGATTATTGTTGATTGAGGATAAAACTCGGGGTCCTTAGAATGAAAGAAGAAAAAAAAGCATACTTTCGTTTGCACCCCAGAAAACACATTGTATATTACTGTATTTTCGTTTTAAGTTGGAAGTCGTTAGCGAATGTTAACAAATTTAAGCACACTTTTTGGATGTCTAACCAATTTCATATAAATTACGTTATCTGATGGTCAAATGGAGTTTGCCGGGTAGGACAATTGGTTGGAATTCCAAAAAGGCATTCTTATAATATTGTGAACTTAAAATTTACCTGTCACTACTACAATAAGAAGGAAAACTAAGGCTATCTGGAGCTTTTAGGGAAATTCGGACAGCACCAGGAATAGGAGGTTCCTAATCGTAATTACAAATCAATGCGAAATTCCGAATTTTAGGGAAAGGAAGAATGTGTGAATTACCTTTTTTAAATAAAGTTGTTTTAAGACAATTTCGGTAATGAGATAAACGAGAATTGCAATCTGAAAGGATCGATACAAGATTCCTAAACGGCGGCTATTTAACATCAGAAGAAAAACCAATGGTTAACGGAAAATTATATCGTTAATAAAAAAAACAAGAAGGAAAAAGAAACTTACTCCTTAACTTTTACGACTTTGAAGGTATCATAACTAATCATTGAAAGATCAATAAGATTAATATTGTGTGAGCTCGTTGGAGTGAAAATATTTTAAATGAAATTTTTTCGTACCTAAAGACTTCATCGAAATCGACCATTGTGTGTGTGAAAAGGAAACCAGAGATTTAAATGTGAAGCACCGTGACGAGTTTCAAAGAGACAGAAATTCAATATTTATCGGCAGACGTGCATAATTACTTCACTATGACAGGTTGAGGCTTCTAATGATGAATTTAATTAAATTTAAAAACTGACCGATTGGTAAAAATTTAATCAAATGCATGCAATAGTGATAAGTCAAGATTGAGGGTGTGTGCGCCTATCAGCCTTGCGTTACCACGTTCGCAAAATCGTTTTAGTTTTTAGGACAATGTCCACCGGTTCATCATCAATGGAGGTTTGCGCTACATATAAACGCGAAAGTCAAGCAGGCACAATGAATGCTATTATAACACCATTTTGCATTTGGGACACATTGAGATAATTTCTAATGAAAGATACCAAATAAGGCCCTGCATTGCGCCTCCAGGGTAACACAAATGAGAATACTAACCAGGGAGAATGAGATTTCATCTTGTTTGTTCCATCAAGATAAAAAAATTTTTTTACAGATACGTGGGATTCCTTCTGAGAAATTCGTTTGGCAAAGAAACTTCCAAGGGAAATTCGATTCCTTCCACGGTCAACTCTCATCCGTGAGCTCGAACGGAACTTCGGCATTAAGTCCTACGGATATTTTTGAAACACCAAGTGCTACCGTGACACCATTATCAGGAGCTACCACCACCGCCGTTAGTTTGTCGTCGTCACGAGATGGCCTGGCATCTCCAAGTGCCAATGTCCCCTTCGACATTCCCACAAATAGCTACTGTACACCATTCATTGACGATAGGCACAGGTGACATCATTGCAAGCTCGGTTTATACAAGTACTCCTCTGCAATTGTGGCGCAAACTCCTTTTTCCTCCGAAAGTGGTCGCTTGACGTTTATTCGATGGTCGTCGCGTGCAAGCAATCGTCCGGGCAATTGTTGGCGATCGAAACTAACGGCTGCCTCAAATACTTGGAAAACGAGTAAATACTGAAGTATTCCATCAATCCTCTTTGTAAATAATATAAACTATAACAGAAGATTTTTGTCTATGAATATAAAAATCGTGTTACGATAAATTCGACGAATTAATAAAAAAAAAAAAAATGCACGAGTAATTAATTGATCATTGAAAGACGCAATCTTCCATGTATTTGCGTACACGACTGGTTTCCTTGAAAGCGAGAAATGTCGTGTGTAGCTCAACATCAATTAGTTATATTTTGGTCGACTTGCATGTCCTCCCACAAAATCTAGTGTTAGGAACATCATTTATCGCATCATTGCTTACACATGAATGATCTTCGTGCTGTGCAATGTTTTCGCAAAAATTTTTCGTTAGAAAAAGCTTTCTTTTCTGAGAAAAAGATGGCCCCCGTGGTACAAGCATTGACCACGCCCGTTATTTGCCTACCTACACCCTGACGATAGTGTGAAAAAGGAAGGAAGTTGAATGATGCACCACTAAAGATTGATTAATACGTAACAATGAAAATAAATTTCCAAATTAATTAATTTAATAAATTTAATTGTTGTTGTTGAACCTTTATATTGGTCGTGGATGATGTGTGCATGTCTTAACTACGTCGTGCGATCGTGTGAAACGAGCTTTGTCTATGATCGAAAATGGTGATGGATCCTCAAAAAATTTGGCCTTGCCGAATTACCGAGCCAATCTAATCGTTCAAACTCTAAATTCATCGACGTTTTTATTATATAACAAGAACATATTTCAAAAAAAGGTACTAACCTAATTGGTCTCGAGCTCAAATTGGAATGTATAACTTTATTGATTGGTAAATCCAAATAGTGGAACATGACGAAATTCTTATGAACAGAATTCCCTTATTTTTACTGCTCACCAAGGTAGTCCCATTTCTCTTTTTTCATTCCCCAACTATTAGGACTCCTTTCTTCGAACATCTCCCTTTTTTATCTACCCTTCTAAACGAATGGGGAATTCATTGAATAGAAATTCTCACAAACCGGCGAATAACTATGAGGAGATCTATGAGATCAACGAGAATGAAAAGGAGAGAAGACATCTCGCTCATAATATTCTACGAGAGATTTTTGGAGGTAATTTCTCGGCACCTGTAAGAAACATCTTACGAACAAGAAGAGCACGAGTTTTGGAAGTCGGGTAGGTCCCTTTTTCTTCATCTCTCATCACTCCGGTTCCATCTTCCTAACGGAATGGCTGAATTCCGTTATCAGATGCGGTCCTGGTACCTGGGTCTTAGAAATGTCGTCCGACTACAGGGGGAATAGTTTTATCGGATTGGATATGCTCTCCATGTTTCCCGAGACGAAGCCTTATTGCGTCGAATTCGTTGTTGGTGATGTTCTAAAAGGTCTGTCATATCCCGACGAGACGTTTGATTATGTATTCATGAGGTTTCTATGTATTGAATTTTCGGAAGTTCAATGGAAAAATTACGTCATCCCGTATGTAACATAAAATGACTGCCTGTTTTCTCCATCGAATTCTACCTTAACCTTTCTCCAATGTTTAAAAATATAAAAGGGAATTGATTCGCGTTCTAAAACCAAATGGTTGGCTTGAGGTACATGCGAGCTCAATTTTTCATGATTTGTCTGTGGTGTAGTAGTTGAAAAAGGTGTGACTGACTAACATCGCATTGAACTAAAAATCTTTCCCAGCTGATGGAAGCCGACCTTAATATAGGTTCCGGGGGGCCTGAGACTACGAGATTTTTCAATAGTGGCAAGTTTGTATTTTCTCATTACGAATCCTGTGCATTTCCTAATACTCGAAGTTAACCGGTTTTCTTCTTTTAGTTGTGAGTGCCTTCCAATCAAAAGGAATAAGCCCCTCAGTTGTTTTTCGACTTCCTGAATTCATGCAAGAAATTGGTCTCGAAAACGTTCAGACCGTGAGGAGGTATTTTCCGGTAATTACAACTCAACAGGATATTTCTATTAGGTGGGAATAGGATTAACAAACAAACGAACTCTCCCTCAATATCTTAGTTAGGAAGGTCCTGGGGCGGAAGATTGGGCGAGTGCGGCGAGGAATACTTACGCGAATCTCTCGCCAAGCCTCTCGAAAAATTTGGGAAAGCCTTAAATGTCAAGTCCAAAGATCGTGAAAGAATGTTAGAATTGTACGTCCAAGAATGCGACTTGTACAAGTCTCATTTGACTATTTATCGTTCGTTTGGTCAGAAAAGGATTCGCTAACATTAAATTGCTGCAGTGGACATGCAAATTATTTATTTATTCCAAATTAAGGCTACTTAAGACTTTATATGAACCCCTTCCATTAAGCTATAAGCAACATCCTTCATCGATATGCAATAATTTATTTAAGTACTTTAATTATAAAGCAAGATATAACTTCGTTTTATGTTTTCATAGGTGATTAAAGTTTCCTATATTAAAAAAATTTTGAAAACTGGATCATTTCAAATGTAATCACAATCTTCACAAGTTATTCCAACAGTGACATTTATACTACCGAGTGTAATAAAAATAATATATATTATGGCGATATTGTTAATTTGTAATTTAAAATCAAGAATCTTTTTTAAAAAACTTTTTAAATATAAAGTATACATGTATATTATTAATTTGAGTGTTCGAAAAGTTTTTTGAAAGAATCAATTTTTTAAACTTATTTTAAATGTTGTCCAAAAAAATAAGCAAATAATGCAATAACGCTCAAGTTGCATTAATAGTGACGAAAAAGTATAAAAAAATAATACAGTATACCGATTAAGTTATACGATCTTCGTTAAAAATATAACAATATAATTTGCTATAAAGTTTTTGATCCATTTTGACTTTTTTTTTCTTAATGAAATGTAAATAGTTATTAAATACGGGAAAACAAAAGATTATACTATATTTTTGTTTCGAAAATAAGCAAAAATAAAATTATATCAAAAAGTTTTTTTATTTAAAAAATATATTTAAAAAAATATTATACGTATATTAAATTGTAATTGAAATTAAAAATCAATAATTTATTTTTGAAAAATAAGATTATAAATATGTATTTTAATATATCATATTTAAATAATTCTAATATACAGTCTGTTACAAAAGTCTTTGAACACTTATTTTAGCTTATAAGTCAATAATTATTTAATAATATAATATAATATACAGTGTGAGTCATAAATTTTTGGAATTGG